ATAGAACAATTGATCAAGGAGTCGCATAAATGTGGTCCAATGGATTTACTCAGTAATCCGAATACGTGAAGTGCAGAGCTAAATAGGACAAGACATGTAGTAGTGGTATGCAAGCACGCAAACGATAGTTGTCTGAGCGTACGTGAACAGCTCTGCACTCGGAAGTGGACACCTGTATAGCACGGCGAAGAATAGTCGAATGGAGAGGAAGTGCTGCAGCTATCCCACAAACCTAAGGGCCGATTTGATATAGCAAGACATCGCGTGAGCAATGAGGAAAGTAGAAACATATATTAATCACGGATGACATTACGTAGGACTCGCATGGCTTAATGGTGGCCCATTAGGACAGCCTTGCCCGAATAACTCCACACCGAACAACTGGCTAATGCTTTGAACGATGGCTTTTTTCACGTGCTCACAGTATACCATCTTGGTAAAGTGAGCAAGAGAGCGCTCGCCGGCCGGTTAATGATTGATGCTTTGATAAGATTATGCAATGGATAAGATGATGCCTCACAAGAGCATTGACAATATGACCTCTAAGTGGTGGCTAAGTCGCCACCTATAATTCGATGGATTTTAAACATGTAAGATAAGATTTGACGCAGAGGCGCATGTGAAGTAAGCAAAACACATCATGACAAAGATTCCGAGTATCTAGTTGACCAATAGAGATATACGGTATATAGAATCGGCATATATGTGATTAAGCAAAACTATGGGGAAATCAATAGCTATAATTTGGATGAATTCCGATCTAGATCAAAGTTTCAAGGATCTCCTCAGTCCAATTAAAGCTGCCCTTAGTGAGTATGCCTAAGCTGAGCCGAATCGGAAGCCTAGGATGAAGAACCCATCTCGGATGGCATGTAGTGCTGAGCACGAATTAGTCTATCACTCCGCTTGGATGCTATATTGATTTGTTCCAGGTACCGAGACGTAATTTATTTTGGGCAAGCTAAAACTGCCATCCATGGGAATTAGGGGGTACAAGAAACTCAATGTTACTTCTCTAGCCAATTTCGCTGAACCAGTCTCGTTCTTTAGAACTTAGCATACCGCGAAAGACAACATTCCAGATTATATGGTCACAATTAACAGTCCTAAGGTAAGCAATTAAGCTTGAGAGCACAACCAGTTCATGACAAATAGGCGCGATGTTACACGGCTAAAGTTGATGCATGATTCTATAATTGACTTAGTTAAAAAATTGTTTGTGGCGCTTTTAAAAGTGATATTAGAACAGAACTCAAGGAGTAGCCCATGGCCACTCAGTGCAAAAAGTCCTCACCCGTAGTACAAGGCGAAAAGCCAGTATTTCGAATAAATTCTTTTTATAAAGTGAGGTGTGATTTGTCATATTATAATAGCCAAAGGAAAATCCAAGCACAACCAAAGATAAAAAACAACTCATAAATATTAGACAAATACAGACACACCAGAATGAGCCCCAACTGCATTAATACTGATGAAGCAAAGATAAAAAAGAATAAAGAGCACGACCAAGTTACACCTATGGCGGTGGGAGTTCTTAATCGCTTATAGATAAACAAGGCGAGAATAAATTAATACGGTAAAGCTGTCAGCAGCAGCAAGATAAGGGTTTCTGGCCGCCAATCGAGCGTAAGTGCCCACGATAGGATATGACGGATGGTCCTAACCCCTTGACCATTTTTGATAATACCCTAAGAGCTTACCTTAGAATAGAAAATCATAAACTCCGAGATAATATACTCACACGAAGGCCCTGCCAGGGCAATTGACCACGTAGGAAATACATGAAGACGTATCCCAATGACTCAATATCATCTCTCCTAGATTGCTCCACTCCAGCATGTGCATTTATGCTAGCATATCGAGCGGTTCCAGTGAGATTTTTATCATCTCTATATGGAATGTGAATCTTCGTTCTGTGATCTCTGCATCGGGCATTATAAGAAAACTTAACAAACCTATATTTCTTTGCGAGACCAAAGTCGACCATGAATACACGATTACAATGCTGTCCAATACCCATTAAAAAGTTGTCAGGTTTTATGTCCCTGTGAATTAGGCTTTTTGAATGAACATATTCGACGCGCCAAAGCATCTGCTCGGCAAGCATAAGCACGGTTTTGAGGGTGAAGCGCCGGCCACAAAAAGAAAAAAGATCTTCTAAACTGGGACCTAGCAAATCCATTACCATAGCTCTGTAATGATTTCGCACACCATCAGAGCCGAACCAATGAACTCGAGGGACAGCGATTGCATTCTAGGAACCGATAAATCAATTGGAACCCACTTGAAGGACTTTATACACTTTACTTTCGTATAGTAACTGTGGGTGCCTGGCATTCACTGCCTCCATTTTAACCGCAACTTCTTCCCCAGTTGCGATATTTTGGCCTAAATAAATGTCTCCAAAAGAGCCTCCTCCGAGCCTCCGAAGAAGTCTCCACTTTCCAGCAATTACAAAATCAAGTCTAGACAGAGAGGATTTCCCCGAGTCCATCATAACCGAGCGAGGAATTCCTAACAGTAAATAAAACTAGACAAATATCATAGAACGAGAAGCTACGAAGCAAATAGAAAGGATACGGGATAAGCGGGATGGGGGGGACTAAAACGAGGAAAAGTAATATATGATAATTTAAGTGCATAAAATGAGTTAAAGCTAATTACGTATCTAATTTTTGCTTAAAATTAAATCTGATATTTACAAGTGGCAAAAAAAGTCGAATTCATTAAGAGAATGAATAATATTAACTCGGACCATTAAAATAAGCTCCTCCACATCAAAGTGGAAAATCTGTAATCAGGTTTCATTTTTTGCCATGTATTATAGCTTTTTTATGTTTAGCTATATGTCTAGATAATTTTAAATGAAAATGTATTGAAACTACATGGCATACAGAATACTCCCCGTTTACTAACACTTCTTAAGATTCAACACTTTCTTTATCCAAGCTTTAAAATCTAAATTTTTTTTATTTTCTTAGATAATTTGAGTGTAACAGTTAATATGGTGCAAGGCTTACTTCATGTATTACAATTTATCAATTCCTTCTCCTTTAAGAAAAAACTTTGCATGCACCGGTTCTCAGTATTATTTACAGAAAA